TAGATACATGTAAGCTCTGAGCTCAGTAGATGATATCCCTATCTTCCATATAATTATAATGGCAAAATCTATGTTTTGCTCTTGGAGACCCGAAATAAGCAGGTCCAGTCCAAAACTATCTCTACCTAAGTAGCTTTTAATAGCAACATTGGCATTATTCCTACCAAAAGTAGTTACTTTTACCTGCTTTTTGCTAAAATTAAATTTTGTGGCTTAAAACAAGTACGGCGCAATATGATGAACAACAAATTTCTTGATATGGGCAAACTGATAATGAATATGACAAAACTTTGGCAAAAATGATTATGTTGTAAATTAAACGACTATGCAAAATTGATAATTTACGAAGTAATCATTTTTGGTGTAAATTTTTTCGATTACATCATCAGTATGACTGTATTATTAAATTTGGTGGTTTAATACCATATTGTGCCATTCATGTATCATAATAAAAATTTCAGTAAATATAAAAATGGAACACATTTTATGAGTTTGCAGTTTTAGTCTGACAAAAGATAACGAACGCGAGATCTACAGATAAAAGTAATTAAAGAGGCTGATCAATAGGAATTAAACTTCTAAATCGGACTGTCCCACGAAATAGATCATGGGAATGTAGCTGCTACTTACTTGTTTATAAAGAGATGTATTTGGTTAGGGCAAAGAAGGAACCAATAGTATTGAACTGACCAGAGGTCAGATATTTACATAAATTAGCTACAACGAATAATATTTAAAGATTATGCAAAAGATTGAAAATTATTTTAAAAGTGCATTAGAAATTTTAAAAGTACACTAGGTCAGAATAATAGTAATTAAAATTCAAATAAAAATTTAAAGTAATTATTGCAAATTTTGAAGGAGTCACAAATATGGTGATGTAAATCGACAAAGGTACACCTAGTATAAAATGACCGGCCGGGGTAGACAGGACTTCAGTGGAAAGCTGAATCTTGACTGTCTTGGTTGCATTTTATACAGGTTGGGTAACATCTCCACTCCCCAACAATGGCCGCCGCTCTGGTCAACAAATTTAAAAGGAATTAGATAATAAGACAATATAGCGAAAATGAGCCATCCTGGTACCACCACAAGTTCTCTAAGTCACCCCCCAGACGTGGATTAGTGCACAATCCCGTTGGATTTTCGGAGAGAGGACTTGAAAACGGGCAACACACGGACCAGAGCCGTCAGACGATCGACGAGACCTGACACTCCCTGGGCAGGACCAACTAGGACTAACACGTTTAAACAAACATGTGCCGACCGCGAGACCATTGAAACAGACGAAACGAACTAAAAAACTCCTGTGCTAATAGGACATTTGATACGACTACTACCAGTCCGTCCTTTGGTGGCCAAAAATAGGAACAATTATATATTTTTAAAATAAACGACTATAATTCTGTGCCGGAACCCCTCTTTCCGAATCCAAGTGCCGATGTGAAGACGAATTATCCAATTGTTGGACAATTTACTTTTCAGTCCTACGAGTAAGACTTTGAAAAAAAAATAAGTACAGGTAGGATGGCATTTTTTTTCAAAATGTCTACCTTTGTTTTGCAAGAATATTTTTTTTACGACGACGGTATTTAGAATGTTGTCATATTGTTGATATTTTTTTTTACATGGGCAATGTTTTATGAATTACCTGAAAATAAGATTGATGACGCTTATAAGCAAATATAAAGGGACTTGCAAAATAAGAGATGAACTGTTCTTGAAGTTATATTTCTGAGACGAAATCAAGAAAAAAAACCTATAAATGGGAAGGGTCTTAAAAAGTAAAGGAAACCCCGTTGACCATTTGTGTAGGTAAAGCACTTTACAAAAATAAATCCTAAATGGGAAGGGCCTTAAACGATAGTAAAGGAAAACCCCTGTTTCCATTCATTTAGGTTGAAAGTAAAGTCACAAACTCTTGCGAGAGGATCTGATTAAAACCTATAAATGGTAATTTTAAGGGCCTTGAAAGATAGTAAAGGGAAACCCTTATACCATTCATTTAGGTTAAAGGTTAAGTCGGGACTTTATAATAGTCAACCAAGCATGAGGCTTGGGGAGAAAAATTTGAAGGGAAAATGGTCGTAATGGAAGGGATAAAGTTATTTCCATTCTTCCGAAATAATTACGAGAATCATTCCCCCTTTCATAAAGACTTAACTTTTAAAGATTTTTTTCAAAGCAGATAGAGTATGCGTCAGATATAGGACTATGCATTTGAATGAGATTATGTATTTTAATAAAAGTGTATAACTTGCGGTACTGTGAAAACATAATTTTTGTCAATTGTGAAATAGGGGTTACATTCATCGACAATTATATTTTTGTGGTGTTTTTGAAAAGTGTCTCAATCTATATACTGAGAGCGTTTACTTAATAGTCCATGAATTGTCAAAGTATTTGTTTTTGTGATTCAAGATTTTTTTTACGATTTTTTTTTATCACTACTGTATTTTTCTGCAAAAACTGCCACCACTGCCCAAAGGGAGAGAAAGAAAAAACCAAGACAATTGTACATATTGTTTTTCGTATCTTTTGTTTAATATTGTATTTTTTTTTAGAAAGTGTATTTTGTAATTCTGTACCTTTATGTGGGCATTTAGATAACATAATATTTAGTAATGTGTGTCTATGTATTTCATTTGTTAAAGCCATCTGAAAATACGTAATTTTTTTAACAAATTCAAGTAAAGTTTAAGTCGGCGCGATAATATCAAATAAATATCACTTTGAACATTCGTTTTTATGTGAAATTCGCAGCAAGACAGATTATTTCGTATCATAATCTCTTTAAACAAATCTTGGGGACAAGATTTTCGACAGTAGGGGGATTTATCATAATAAAAATTTCAGTAAATATAAAAATGGAACACATTTTATGAGTTTGCAGTTTTAGTCTGACAAAAGATAACGAACGCGAGATCTACAGATAAAAGTAATTAAAGAGGCTGATCAATAGGAATTAAACTTCTAAATCGGACTGTCCCACGAAATAGATCATGGGAATGTAGCTGCTACTTACTTGTTTATAAAGAGATGTATTTGGTTAGGGCAAAGAAGGAACCAATAGTATTGAAGTGACCAGAGGTCAGATATTTGAATAAATTAGCTACAACGAATAATATTTAAAGATTTTGCAAAAGATTGAAAATTATTTTAAAAGTGCATTAGAAATTTTAAAAGTACACTAGGTCAGAATAATAGTAATTAAAATTCAAATAAAAATTTAAAGTAATTATTGCAAATTTTGAAGAAGTCACAAATATGGTGATGTAAATCGACAAAGGTACACCTAGTATAAAATGACCGGCCGGGATAGACAGGACTTCAGTGGAAAGCTGAATCTTGACTGTCTTGGTTGCATTTTATACAGGTGAGATTATTTTGTAGACTTGCGTACGTTTTGATCAAAATTATTAAATTTTCACATGGCTTATTTTATTAACAAGTTAAACTCTTTATATTATAAGTAGATATATTTTTAATAAGGTTTAGAATCTTTGTAAAATTATTTATTGTAATTATAAATATTAGAAATAGAATAGTTTACTTTAATAAAGAGTGGAAAGCTGAATCTTGACTGTCTTGGTTGCATTTTATACAGGTTGGGTAACATCTCCACTCCCCAGCCATGGCCGCCGCTCTGGTCCACAAGTTTAAAAGGAATTATTTAATAAAAAGCGAATAGCGAAACTGATCCATCCTGGTACCTCCACAAGACAAGCGAGTTTACGCTAGTGCGAGCCAATAAAATAATCTGCTGATGGAAATCAAAGAAAAAAAAGAACAATTTGCCTTTTATTTTTTTTTATAATACATGTGTTAGACCACAAAATACAAGTATATATAAAACACAAACTATGTAACTTACAATTACATGTGAATATGAAAATCAATTTTATTTTATGAGATGTACATATACTTAATGGAAGTGAATATATACTGTATACTGTATATATACTGTATCTGAATCTCTAAAATACCAGGTATTTAGAGAATGAAATACAGTGAAACATGTAATCCTTAAGTTGAATACTCCCAAATCTTGCTAAAACAATGCAACCGTAAGTCAGTTAAATAAAGTCTATTATTTAAAATATTGTTTAATCTGGAATGTTTTCTAATCTGGTAAATTTCGGTGTATTTGACTAGTTGCACTGTATACGAATGAGATATGGTAAAATAAGATGAATATAATGTACACAAAATAAATATAAATGCAATTAACTACATGTAATTATATATAAATGAACTGAAAAATGAAGTTTGCAGCAAGTGCAAGTGAATATGATCATCAGCTACAGTGAAAACAACGTGCTCTGCCTTTTACACACGCAATGGTACATTTATAAATTAAATAAGAATGGTCCTTGTTTATAATAAAATGATCAGTTAGATAGTAATACAAGTATGCCTTTCTTCGTCAGAAATAAGTACACTGCTTTAGAGTTCATACACTTATTTACATTGTAATTTTCTATATAATTTTTTTTTTCAATTTGACGACACATTGAATCAGACTAAATAAATTTCACAGACGATTCTCCTTTTTCAACATCGATGTCCTCCTTATCCCACTTAATATATCTGTTTCTAGGCTGAAAAAATGAAATAGAATGAGATTTTATAAAGAAAAAAATATATTTCTACATGTACATGTACAAATACACATATTGTTTTTCCTTTTAATGGACTTTAAACATTCTATAATATTGTAGCTGAATTTTAGGTAGTATATCAATAAGTATATGTACCACATGTGATCTTCTGCAGGAAAACAATCGCTGGCAGCACGTGTCCTGCTTGTCGGTCTTCTATTTAAAAAGAAAAATAAGAGTCACAATGTAATTTTAGTGAGAAAATCTTGCATTAAAATCATGAAAATTTATCTGTTACATGCAGTTTTAATTTTACATAAAAAATTCTGAGGAATTATTTTTCAATTGCGTGGAATTCTAAAACCAATATGATATAAATTTATATTCAAAACCAAACAGTTATGATTGACAATGCAATTGCATGTTATCAAAATTTAAAAAAAAAGAATAAAAAAGCATGGCCTTGTTAGAAATTACCTTTGTCCAGTACTTTAGCATTTGTTTCCAACTTAGATTATGTTCATCTCTGTTATGTCGTGGACATGGTGAGGACGACTCAGAAGGATCAGCTGAATAAAACTCAACTGCCTCTGACTCACGAATAAAAACAGCATCATCACTTTCCTCTGTTACATTGGTTGGTTTGCAAGTAAATCCGGGATAGTATTCAACCGGTTTATGAAAAGTTCGGGTTAGTTGCTCCAAAAATGATTCAATCTTTTGGCGAATATTTAACGTAACATCTTTCTTCAATGGTTTTGAGTTGCAAGTATATATCTGAAGGTGAATTTGTGTACTGCTTACACCCAAGACTATTCGATGACAGTTGTCCGTGTACTTAAAGAAGGCAGCGTTTTTGAAAAGCAACGGAAGTTTGCCATCTTCCTGTGATTCCCAATGTTCCATACTTGCTACAACAAGTCTATAGAAATAAAAATGTGGTAAAAACTTTGGAAAACTAAATTTTAAAATACTGGTATGCTTTGTTCTTTTAATACGTTCAAAATCTTTGTCGCATAGTTCTTGTTTGTTCACACTTGGTACATAGAGTTTTCCTTTCCCCACAGCGATCAGGCCAAGCCGCTGCATATATAACAGTACCGTGTCTTTGTACTCGATCATCTCATGTAACCCTAACTCTGTCCAGATTGTTAAAAGATGTTTATCTTCTAGCATTCCTGTTTCATTAAAGGAAGTCCACTCTTTTGATGAAACATGTGTCCTGTGATTTTCGTCAGTAATAACATTCTTAAATGCATCGACAAACCATTGGACATCAAGAATCACAATATCTGAAAGACCTGTTTCATTGAAAAATAAAATTTTGCCACAATCATGATAGAATCGTAGCATGTCCAAGACGTCTTCATTTTGTTTCGGGATTTTACAATTGTTTGAATTGATTAAATCCGAAATAGTTATTATCCGCTTAATTTTGAATTTGCATAATTCCTGATCAAAGTCTTTCCATAGTTTCGGTACTATTTCTCCCCATGTAGATTGTTTCTTTACCATTTCGACAATACATTTCTCAAGTCTATCCATTTCATCTCTGCTTTCGCCCGGTTTCCCTAACTCAAAGTAGTTCTTTCTATGGAGATGTTGTTGTAATTGACTGACATCTGGGAGTTGTGAAAGAAAGCTGCAGAACCGATCTTCATTCTAAAAAAAATATTACTTTATTAATTATAATTAAATTTTATATATATGAAATGGTTTAAAACAAGTTAATAATGTGGGACTACCAAGCTTGTGATATCTTTTTTAAACATAAGATGTTTAATGAGTAGCAAACGATTTTTTCCATTTCTCAGATATTTGTAATATTTTGTATATGTTTAAAATGTTATTAATTTTGTCTTTCCCTCTTCCTCATAAATTTTATGATGATAATCATTGCGAAACTGTTATCAATTCATTAGTTTTCATTTCACCTTCACCGTGTGCTCATTGGCGACATCTTTGTGGGTACCGACTAAGATGACTGGACTAGCTGTATCACAATATGTACTGATGGACTCCATCCAGAATTTATTGTAATCTGTCAAGAATACATTTTTAATATGGAATACCACTTCTGGAAAAAAAGCTATTTAAAAGAAATATCATATCAGAATACAGCTCCACTTGATAAAAAAAATTGTATTGATTTTGACTTTGATTTATATCATTTCTTCTGTGTGATATATGCGACATATTTCTTCGGATCAGAAAAATGCTAAAAATCTTTTGAAAAAAATATTGGAATATTTTTTTGCAAGTATGAAAAAATTGTTTTGTTTTATTTGTTAAATAAACAAGAGGCCCATGGGCCTTTTAGGTCACCTGATTATAATGTAACAGCTTTCCAGCAATTGAATTTGGTTTATATTTTAAATCAAATCCATGAAATTCACAATTTTGAAAGAGGTATCATTTCTTATCATATTTATACACTTAGCATGCTTACTTTGGATACTAAATACCCAGTGGTAGATCAGAGTAACAAAGTGAAAATGCATTTCCACTTTATAACCTCCAATTGTGCATCCCACCCCACAGGAACTACTGACTCTTAGGCCAAATATATTAGTAAATGTTTTGGAAATTTTATCATAATTTATATTTCATCAGAATAGTTACTTAATACCGAAGAGCAGATTTGAAAGCATTAATTTATTTTCATAAAAAGTTCACCATTACCCTGTACCCCTGGCCCAGGGCCCTGAAATTAACCATTTTGAAAGAGGCACCTTTCTTAATCATAAATATGTAACTAGATCATATGCATATTAACCAGGAGCAAAGGAACAGATTTCACGCATTTTCACTTAATTATCATTAGAACCCTGCCCTAACACCAGAACCTCTGACCCAGGGCCCTGAAATTCATAAATTGGGATGAAGCATCCTTCCTCATCACAACTATGTACATAGTTTCTTAATATAAAAAAAGACAGGATCAGATGATAAGATTTTTAAAGAAATAATGCATTTTCACAATATAATCGATAGAGCTCCACCCGAACACCAGAACACCAGAACAAGAGACCAAGAAATTCACAATTCTGGAAGAAACATTCTAGTTTATTTTATACACAGGAGCAGAAAAGTAGATTTTCAAATGATTTATGCAATTTCACTACATACTAGAATCAAAAGAGCCCCAACCTTATTCAACATGACTTTGTACTTGGTTAGTTTATTTAATGCCCAGGAGCAGATGAGAAGATTTTAAAGAAATAATGCATGTTCTCTATGTAATCTATTTTGTCCCGCTCTAAAACTAGAATCCTTTTTTAAATACCGAAAACGAGCTTAGAACTTTTCGTCTTCAGATCGATACATACGGCTAATGGCGGATGTGACCGGTCAACAGGGGTTGCTTTCTACTCGTAGGCACTTAATCTCACGAGTTGAATTTACAGAAACCTGGTTTTAGTTATATCAATACATGTTTTTGTATTATTTACAGATTATTTTGAAATCGATCACAGTTCAGTGTTTGTAGCCTTACTCTGACCCGGTGGTCATACTTTTTTAAAATAAATAAAAAAAACAAAACAAACCTTTAATCTAACAACCTGAGGATGCTTTCATTAAAGATTAATATTCAGTTCTTGAAAAAATAATTTAATTCTATAAAGATTCCATGAACTGATCACGAATTTATAAGGTTTTCCACGTGAAAGAAGGAGTTGCTTTTCATTTGAACAAATCGGAATTTCCCTTACCAAAGGATTCTTTTTGGTTGGTTTGGTGATATTGGGCTATTGATTTTTAAGAAGTCAAAAATTTGAAAAGTTACGGATCGACAGACGGACGGCGGGCTTAATTTGATCAGAATTACTCCCTTGAGCTATTGATTCCTTGAGCTATAAGATTCTTTTTTTTGTTTTTTAAACAACCAAAAACCAGATAAAGCTATATATAAAAGAAATATACAATTTCATCGATTATATTAGAATTTATATTGATACCTCTATACGTCCAGTTTTCAAATAATTTTTCTCTGGAAAAATTCTGCTCGGACGATACTGGTTCATTTGGATTTTTTGATAAGTCAATAACAAGTATATACAATGCTCTCCTTGAGAGGTACACCTGGTGGCAGGCATAATATGCACTTTGTCCAGCAAAGTCTGTAATACTTAAGGTTTTTTCCTCTTTATAGGGATCATCTCCACTCAGTGCTTTAAAAAGAAACATT